GAAAAGTGGGATGCCAGAGGATTAACTGGGACGGTCTCTGCTAAATCGGGACCAATGGAGGGTATGGCTTTCATGTGATGAAATGGTACATGGGAAGCATCATCTCCATGTACTCTGTTCCTCCTTTTTCAAATCAAAGTCTCACCATCCTGGCACAGACTTGGTTAATGGTTACTTTCACTGGAGAATTTGCAAGACAACTTGGCAGTGGTGGTAGTAAGCACAGGTAGCAGAGGCAAGGCAGTGGCAGTGGCAGCTCTGTGGGCCACACAGTATCTTGTGGGTCAGCCACTAGTGGCCTACATGATGGACTAACAACAGCCCTTAAAGTTTCAGACAGGAGCCTTTGCCAGGCTTGTTAAGAAATACCAGGGACTAAGCATGGCACTTTCTGGGTGTAAGGTAGGGATGGAAAGAATATTTTGTGTGCCACACACACATACAGAGCACATGAGGGTTTGTTTGTTTGTTTTGTTCAGTTTTGCATAGAAAAGGTATTTTGGATGCAAAAAACAAATTTCTTGTGCACAAAAGAGCATTTTCTACACAGAAAATAACAATAAACAAGTTTCCTGTGTAGAAAGTAACAATTTCCAGTCTGCAAAGAACTTTATATTGCACTGAACAGCTGTAATGGAAGAAAGCTGATTGTCCCTATTTTGCCATGAAGGAGGTAGTCCATGAAAAAGACTGTATATAATGACATCCTGAAATTGTCCAGTGGAGAGCAGAGAAGGATGAGGCTCTGGACCAGAGCCTCATTCTACCACAGTTGTGGATGGTATCAGCATGATATTATGCTCATTCTTTTAAACAGTCACTTCTGAAGGTATGGGAACCTTGTAAGAGAGGGGCACACACAATGCAGGCATTTGCCAATCCGCTGACTCCAGACTTTATCCCATTGTTGCTGTGTGCCTTCAAGTCATTTCCAACTTATGCCAACTCTGTAATGGGGATCTGTTGGCAAGTTTATTCAGAGGAGGTTTGCCATTGCCTTCCCCTGAGGCTGAGAGAGTGTGACTTGCCCAAGGGTCACCCAGTGGGTTTCATGACTGAGCTGGGAATCAAACCCTGGTATCTAGAGTCAGAGTCCAACACTCAAACCACTACGCTATGCTGGCTCTCTTTATTCCATTACTCTCCCTGAAAACGGTGGAAGCAAGTCCATTAAAACAAATGGGATACTGTCACACTTCAGGGTTCAACTACACCCAGCTGAAATGGATAAAACTCTTGTGAGCAGGGGTAATACTAAATTTTGAAGTACAGCTGAGCTTCACAGCAGTCCCTGCATCTCTATAGGATGGAGATAGATACACAGATAGTCAGACAGACGAAAATATTTCCAACCATTTTCATCTGTCAGGAGCAGGTCTTTTGTAAAGCTAATAGGGATTGCAGTTAAGTTTAGACAAATGGGGGTGATGGATGGATAATGTTGTACTCCCTGCTAATCATAAGCTCCCTGGGCTACAACCTGGTGAGCCCCAGCTCCCCTGCATAACTGAGTTAATGTATGTTTGCACCTGTGCATTCAGGGCTCACTTGC